CAACCAAAATGACAATAATGTAAATATTTTGATTGATAACAGCATTTTTGTGACATGTATCAGTGAGATTTGCTCATATCATAACAAATATATACCCAAATTTCACCAAATCATTTTATAGGCTACAAATAAAATCCATTTTTTATTTACATACTATCTTTACATGCTCTAATAAACTTGCCACAAGTATTTGACATTGTACGAAATTTTCACAAAGACATTTATCAAATATTTATTATTGATCAAATTACTAGCAAATGAAAGTAAAACTAAAGAATCCTGCTCAACTTTTCTGTTCCACATTCTGCCAAGCTGTGTAGCGTGCAATGAAGAGAATTTTGCATTAGCTTACAATTTTCTTTCAGTAATCAAAATTGAGCTTTAATATATCACTTCAAAAATTTCATAGCAAAATGTTCATTCATTTCAGTCAATCTTAAAGCCAAAGAGTTTTCTAATATATTTTCTCAACTGTATAGAGGACCTAGACATAATATATGTTTTTCATTGTAAAAAAACAGGTAACTTGACTCATATATCATGGACTGATAATTCGAATTTGTAAAACGATATTTCCATATATTATTTAGTCAGTGTAATAAGATGAATAATCAATAATATGAATGCAGCAATGTGGTTTATCTTGCAACTATTTTGTCTTCTTCAGCTTTGAGAACCCTATAGAAATAATTAAAATAAAAAAGCAGATATTACTTAGTTTCAACATGACACTTTAACAGTGTGTGAGTAGTCTTAGCATTAATGTGGTTTGTAGAGAACCCAGTATCAGATTTTAATTCTTAAAAAAGGTCAAAGATCGCTAAAAATTGGGCTCAGTTTCAGCATAATTCAAAAACTGTATGTTTGTTACAAAAGAATCAAAAGGTGAGGATTCTAAAAATGTATGTTCAAATGTGCTGAATACATCAAATTAGGTATTGAAATATATAAACATATACTATACAATATTAAGGATAATAAAAGTGGACTAGGATCTCTATAAATATATATCAAATTACTTATCAAAGTATCAGCAGTATATAATGTAGTCTAGGCTAGTCAAGACCATAAATCATATCATAAGATGGTTTATATGGTACACTTGATTTTAGTACTAATACACCAATAAAACACTCTTCTTACCACCCATTTACTATCAGTTGTTTTTACAACAAACAAGTGTGCTAATGGTTAGCCTTTATCTAAATGGATTTTTTTTCTCCTGTCATCTTAAAGTTGGGTTGCCACATTTCAAATTTAATATCAAAATGTTTTGTTTTCCTTTCATAAATTATAACCATGGGTTGACTCATATAAAAATGTTTTATATCTTTTCTTCTCTTTTGATACAGTAAATTCTGGATTAGTTTGACGTGACACGAAAATGTGGGAATCCATCTTTACATAACTACTGGTATCGGTATCATAAAATTACATGATTATTAATGGCTGATGTATGAAGGATCATAAGAAATTGGAAGGATTATATGTACCTGATAATAATAGAAATGAATGGCTATATACATATCAACAATTCTCTTATCAAACTCTGCTTGAAGGGGAAATACATATAGTCATTGCATGCATCAAATATTTCTTATAAACTTATTAGATGAAATAATACCTGGGAGAGCTACTCAAATACTTATCTAAAATAATCTCTCTGTTACAAATTCCTTAAGTAGACAATAGCAGACTGGCAATTATAATTAAATACAGCTTGAGATAATTTTTTTCTTTGAGTTATTTCACCCAATCTAGATCTGAAAACATTCTTTTGAAATCAAGTTAGATCTGTCAAACTTTTCAGAATTAAAAAAAAAGTCAATACTCCTTAAAGAAGATCACAGACTTTCTTACTAACTGTATGCAATGTAGCATTTGATTGGTTGGATTTTTGAACAATATTTCTTAAAATACCTTCAGATCCTAGTATAGGTGAAGTAAACATTAGAAACATAAAATACATGAAACCAAACATATAGAACTGTTATTTCCACAATGCATTTGAACCAAGACTTGGATGATAAATGATGCAAGATAAGCACTCCATTGCCATTTGTCTGCCATGAAGATCCGGTTTATTTTTATCTCCCTCAGATTTAGTGAATTTTCATTTGAGTTAAGACTTTCTCTATTTGATTTGTCCATCACTGGTATAGAAACTTCCTTTTCCATACGTAAGGCCTACATATCCCCAAAAAGATCAGATCAAGTCGTCCTCCATTATTCAATTTGAAAAGCAGAGAATAAGATGATCACATAATCACATACAAAACAGTTATAATACAATTAGAATTTAAATACTCTCAAACCATATATAATATATAATTTCAGCAACAAATTATTCTAAAAGAGGAAATAATTTGTGTTATTGCAGCATCAAGGATTTGAGGTTATCGTGTAAGATAGTGTCTCTTACGTCGCGAAAAACTCGCTCAATATTTTTTGTGTCAATTGCAGTAGTAAAATGATGAAATAGTGGTTTCGCTTTATCACGTCTGCGAGAGTCGAACATCCGCAGTAAGAAAGTCTTCACATTTTCAATATTGTGTGGGTCACCTTGAAAATCGGGGAAATAGTCACTGATATTCACTGCCTTGACCTTTTCTGTCAATAAATCCATTTTGTTTAAAAATAAAATAACCGACACATTCACAAAAGATTTGTTATTGATTATTGTTTCAAAAATAAAACAGGATTCCTGCATTCTGTTGGTTTTACGATCTTCCATTAAAACTTGATCAAATTCACTGGATGATGCTAAAAATAGTATTGATGTAATGCCCTCGAAACACTGAAACCATTTTTGACGCTGTGACCTTTGACCTCCTACATCAATGAACATAAATGGTACACCTCTGATATGGAGAATCTTTTCTATGATTCCTTTTGTAGCCTTCCTAGACAGTAAAATATCATCTTTAGTTGGAATGTAGTTCTGAAACAAAAAACAAGGTAAGTTACACAAAAGTAATGACATACAAATAGGGCCAAAGACAGTCAACTAAGGTGCAGGCACACGAGCGGTCTTGGTCGGAGATTTTTGTCGCTAACTTGAATCTTGAGTAAAATCTTGCTTGTGTCCGTGTTTCCACGACAAGATCATCGTGTCGCAAAGTTTGATAATTGTCTCCGATAGTTTCATCTTCAAGACAGACCGTCATCATCTGATCAGATTCATTTCCCATGCTCCGCACGTGATAATCGTCAAGGTGGAAAACCAACAGGAGATTTTTGTCTCCTCGTGTGCTCATGCAAGTGGTTGAAACTCAAGACAAAATTCTTGACTAAAACTGCTTTAGGGGATTTTTTTTTAGGACAAAACAGATGTCTCATTTCCATTTTTGTAAAGGCCAGTGCACACACTTATCAATTTTTTATCTCTCAAAAAATCCATGACAGCTCTACGACAAAATCAGGAGTGAACGGGAGATACCTGACAAGTTTGATCGAAAGACGTACTGATTGTCAACAAGTAGGAAAAGTGATTAGGGACGACATATCAAAAGTTGAATCAACTTATGTCATCATTGAATCTATTAAGTTAAATTTTTTTAATGTCTTAAATTAAATTTGAAAATAAGAAAATAATTACCAGTTGTCCTATTCTATCTAAATTATTGGCAAAATACAGTAATGAATCTCCCTGAAACATAAAAAAATAAGCAATTAAATAAATTTAGTTTAAAATACCTAAGCTGGAGATGTACATTAAAAGAAGTGAAATATTCTGATGGTCCACAGTACAAATTACAAATACTGCATGGGGTTGTGTACTCTAAACTTCTGTTTATTTGTAAGACTAACTCAAAGGGTTAAAACAAAAATACAGCTCACGGAAAACAAAATATATACAATACTTTATATTCTGGCAAGGAAATAGTCTTTTAAATCCTGAAGGAGATGATTTATGTACCAGAGTGTTTAATTACATATATACAAGTGTTACAGAATCAATTCCAACACTATTTACATTGAGACAGAAACCTGCAGTTATAGAGATAAACACCATGTGTAATAAGAATACATAACAATTCCATTGAAATATCTCTATAGCTCTATATGCCAAATTTGTAACCACCTAATCTAAGCTTATCCGTTTGAAATTACAATACATATTCATTTAATTGCAGTAAATTGGTAAATTCTGAGTTGGAAATTGAAATGAAACTTTTATGCACCTTATTGGGGATATAAAGTATACAGAGGGGAATTGCCAAGGCTTCAACATAAACCCTATTGTCAAGGGATCTTTGTTACCAGCCTTGCTCTGGTTTATAATCCCATGACTGACTTTAAACTTTGAAAAACCTAAAGTAAGCTTATATCTCGACCTCTGCCTGCCAGGATTTATAAAAATTCTAGTCTTATCCACACTTATTTGTATACGATTTTTACAAAAAAAGGTCAATAAGTCGGAAACAATCTCATGAACTTAAGAAATGTCTTACATAAATCAAAATCTGAAATATCATAGTTACCTTTGAGGAAATGTAACCAGTCTTATGTTAATCATGTGCTGAATGTTTGGAAATGATGAGACAATTTTCCCTTAGTCTTCCTATAAATTCTATTTATTGATATCAAGTCATCATCTTTATAAATGTGACCTATTGTTTATTGTACCAATTATAATATTAGTTATTCCATAAACTGTTTATGATGTTAGATAACATTCTTAAATATTTCAGCTGTGTAATTTAATATACTCTCATGTTTGGGGAATTCTGGCTATTTTTCCTGCATTTATTTCTTTTTTGAGGATGTCTAGCATATGTCCACATATGCGCACATGTATGATCAACTGTGAAAATGTTCCAAATAAATCTATGACCTTAAAGTGGCATTCTGTATGCTATTTATATCTACGTATCTACTTGATCACAAAGAATTTGTTTTAAGACTTTCAAATATGTTAAAATACACATTGAATTACAAAAAAAGTACAATGTTGCTTTAACTGATCACATTTTATGAATTTCTTCTAGAAGAGTAGATTCAAGTTATATGCTTAATTAAAGTTGAATTTGTTACGGTTTCAATAAACAGTTGTAACAATTCAAAACAAGCCCTTGCTATAGCTGAACTTCTCAATCGAAGCTCCAATTCAAAAGTGGATAAGACAGATAAATATAGTCAAGTCCATATCCTTAAACACAATACAATCCTATAGGTCAATGAACAAGAAGTCAGTACAAAACAATTCAAATTTGAACACTAAAGATACTATCTCGTCTTTGATCTTCTCATTCATTATTAGGATAGGCAATTGACATACATTAGTTATTCAATGATTCACAACTTCACACTTAATATTTAATAATAAATGAGTGACATTGCAACTTGATACATTATTTCAAATATCATAAATTTATGAATCATTATTTAATCAATTGAAGTCATATAACACTGTATATTACAATATGAAATTACAAAGTTATTCGTATTACATTGATAATACTATGCTTTCTCAAAATAATGAGAAAACACATGTCAAAATTTTAAATTCCAGTGGTTCTTTTGTGTCAAAGTATCTAACTATTAATAAGCTCTTATTCATTGCTTTGTTCAGTAGTATAATTTATTGTAGGTAAGTTTTGTGCTGAAGGGAAACTTTGTTACTACTCATAAATGTTACTTTGACATTTAATAAACAATGATCAAAATGATAAAATTCATAGCACAATAATTCATTGTTTCAAATATTCTACCCATACATAATGACTGACAATCAATTCTTGACAAAAAATTGCCATACTTTCTAACAATTTAATGTCCTGGAGATTTTCAATGATTAACTTTCAAAGGTTGAATGAATTAAAGGTACAGATTTTTTTTACCAATCATACTTTAGTCTCAGAAACGGGATTTTTTTAGCTAAGCCAATAGTGTTCACATCACACCATCAAAATTTGAGCCTTCAAAACCATGTGTGTCCAGAATTATCCGCGTTTGAAACACTACCATAAATAGAAAAGACATCTCTAGAAATATGAAAAGAATTTCCTAGTTTGAGATATTGTTGAAGGAATTATGCGTTTTTTCATACATTTCTAGTACTTCTGAAGACTATTTAGTCAAATCAACCCCCCAAAACGGCAGCACATTTGTCCCTTAATTGAAGTCTGAACTTTTAAAGATGGGTTCCCTTATTTTCATTTGTGAAAATGAAAATGCTAATACTTATATGAATAGAAAGTAGATGTGTTCTAATGACTTAGAAAAATATCAGTAAATATTCCAATGTCCATAATTAATTCATAATTAGCTAAATTAGAAGAGAATAACCACCAGAATTCAAATGAGTGACCCGATCAAGAAAGGTCAAAAAGTCTTTTTTTGTTTATCCATGACTGGACTGTACATATATGGACATTTATGATTGGTTAAAACTCTTTAGTTATATGCAATAAGAACAAAATGATATGATTAAGAATACATGATAATTCATTAGAAACACCAATTCATTGTTTAATTTGACACTAAGAAATGAGGAAACCCATCTTTAAAATAATGTAGCAACCTAATGTTGGCATTATATAAGCCTTAATATTCAATAAGTCTAAATCAAACCATTTTTATACAAAAATAACTATCATTATTAGACAGCATATTTCACCTAACTATATTTTTAATAGTTGACACAAACAAGGATGTTTAATTGACAGTAGTGTAGACAGCTACAATAACCATGACAAAAAAAAACAAGCATACAAGGAAAATATTTGTTCATATATCTCTACACACCCATTCATCATAACTATACTACACATACTGTAGTAACATATAATTTATTGTGAACTTGCTGTACCTGTTAGTCAAGTTCTGCTGTTTTGACTGTCTCGGGTATCTTTTTAATCCAAAATAGACATGTTTATGTTTTTAAAGGAATACTACCTCTTAGAAAGGATATAAAATTCAATGTCTCAAACTTGGTAAATAAGAGTAAATATATTCATGAATCAGTTGGACTTAAGAGGTGCCATGACTAAAGAATAGAAATAAATTTAGTTATTTGACAGATTCTTTGGTACCAAGTAAGTCTACTAATGAACAAAGACTCATTTTGTTTATCTTTCAACAAATTGATAATTTGATTTATTTTGATTCCAAGCAAATTGCAGGCCTAAATTTTTTAAGGGGGGCTCAAAAAGTCATATTAATTTTTCAGAATAGAGGACTTGATCTTTTACATCAATTGAGTTCCCAAGCTACTCAAAATAACTATCTTGATTTATAGCTGTCATCAATTGACTGAACGAGTTGGCAAACCACTAAGATTTAACTATCATGATTACAGCAATTTAATTTTGAACTTTTCAATTGACAAAATGAATTCACAGACCACTAAGAACAACTATGCTAGTTAGCAACTTTAATCTTCCCTATCAATTGACTGAAAGAGTTCACTAACCACTAAGAGCAACTATTTTGGTTTGCTATTTTAATCTTCACTATCAACTGACTGAAAGAGTTCACTAACTAAGAACAACTATCTTGGTTTGCTATTTTAATCTTAATTATCAATTAACTGAATGAGTTCTATAACCACTAAGAACAAATATCTTGGTAAGCTATTTTAATCTTCACTATCAATTGACTGAATGAGTTTATTGACCACTGCATTCAATATACTCCTTCCTAGTGCAATTAAAGCATAAACATAATCAAGTGGCTGCACAGTGTTGAAATATTATAACCATATTGAATTCTACCAGGATTAATTTAGAATAACTAAACTAATGTAATGGTAATGTTTGGGGTAAAATTAAGCTAACATATTTAATGTCATCATGGCTTAGCTTTTTCTTTTCCTCCTTACATACTGGTACAGAGATACACTGATAATAGTTGTAAAATTATAAAAGTGACACTCAAATTGAGACTTACTACTGTAACTATCATAAAGCAATACAAAATTTACACTGTTTAAATAGTGCTCAATACATCAATTGTATAGTTCCTCAGAGTTTCACCGTATGCAACCTTCAGATATTTCTACTATCATAAAACTTCAAACAATCTATAGTTGACACAAAATAGCAATATCATTTATTTTTACCAACTTCTAGGAATACCAGCTGTCACTCTGAAAAGTCTTCAACTGGTTAGGTCAATTCAGTGTTTCATTCTCTGTAAGAATTAGAAAATCATCTCAATAGTCAACACTAAAGAGCTAGCTACCGTACAATGGTTCATCTTAAGGGAATCAGCTATACCCCACCCTTGAAAGCCCTTACAAAATTAACGTACAGAACATCAAATATAGTAAAAGTCCACCTTAAAAACTGTGTATTATTCACCTCCCATAGAGATATTTGTAACAAAATATACTTAGTAAATAATGGGTTTACCAGTCTCATAATATAAGCTTTAAATATAATGCAATGTTGATATAGGCTAAGGAGAATTTAAAAAGAAGAAGCAAAAAGTGAAGTTCAAAGATAATCAACTGTAGGCAATATGTAAATAAAATGTTCAAAACATCACAAATGTTAATTACTTAGTAATCTTATTTGAGACTTTGCATTGAATATCAGGCTGAATAATTTTTTAATTAAAACATTGCATGATAAATTTAATGATTGTCCAGAAATTTTTTTTACAAATAGCACTTATAGGGATTGTAAAAAGGCTTTCTACACCTTTTATAAGCTTATACCAGTATAGAGGACATTGATAGCATCAATTTGCACCATTCCATTTTTCGATCGTCTGTGATTTTACAATTCTACCTAAACTTTTATGATGTCACTATTGCAAAGGGCCTTATCGCAAAGGGCTTATATAATATAAGCTTAATGCCTATAGTTACTTACAATATTTGATATATATTGATTGACCATATTGGGTACGTTCAAGAATATATATAGGTAAGACTAACATAATATTCTGCTGTGTGCAATATTAAATATTAATACTTTATCTATAATGATATCAATATGTCAGTCATACTGGTAACTAAAAGTATTTATTTACTCTGAAATCAGATATGTGTTTAAATATAAACAGTAGAAGACCACTTATATATATAAACATCATATGATAAGATATAAATATAACTATGGATTAAAAACTTCTGGTTGTAAAATGCAACAGATTAGGCCTATACTATCATATCTTTGACTCCTGATACCCTTCTGAAAGCTTTTATCTATTTTTCTAAAATCATAACATTCATATCGCTTCTTTAAGTGCTAGTAACACAGTGAATTATGATCTACCACACATTTACATTTATTGATAGAAATTAGGGCCTAATCATTACTGAGATTATTGCAATATAACTAGCAAATTTCAAACACTTCCTTATGAAATTACATCCTGGATTGAGCAGTTAAATCAAATTCTGAAAGCATTAGATTAATAACAGTCCATCCTAATTTTAGACTTTTAACATTAGTTACATTTACAATCTTATCTGAATTGTCTTTTAAAGAATGGACAAAAATCCTTGTCTACCAATAAATCATAAAATAGCTTAGCTTATCAAGACCATTCCAATTTCAGACAATGGTTTCAGTAGAAAGTCTTAGTCAAATAAAACAGGGTCCAAATCTAATAAAACGTAGTCCAAGTTGTCTTGGACATTGGTCCAATTTTAAAGGGACAGATGCGCCGTATTGGGGGTTGATTTTAGTCTTGAGTATATGTAAATAGTCTTCAGAAGTTCTAGACATGTACTAAAATCACATAATTCCTTTAAATACACTACAAACTAGGAATTTTACTCACTATTTTTATATATGGCTTTTCTATATCACAGAGTATCTTAAAATGATAAATCATTTTAACATTCAAATGGGGATAATTCTGGACACACATAGATTTGAAGGCTCATATTTAGATGGTGAGCTGATTGGCTTAGCTGAAACAATCAAGTTTCTGAGACTAAAGTATGATTGGTTAAAATAATGGTACATCTGTGCCCTTAAAAAAAAAAAGGCTAGAAGGCTTACTCCCAGTTTTCTCTATTTGTCAGAGTTGTCCTACTTCCAAGGAACACAAAATTAACGATAAGCATCTAGCTTTTTAAATATTAAAGGGGGTATTTGTTTCCCTGTTCTTTTTTTACATTGGCTACATAACTGTATTGGTAGTACTAGAGTCTATATAATAACAAGCTTATAACTTGTGTTTAAACAGGACAAGATCCTTCCCACCTACTAGCCTTGGCCCTTTGGCTGTAATCATGTAAGTGTTAATATTGATAGTGGACTGTCAATGGCATTCAGTATACCTACCAATTGAAACTCTCTTCTTCTGTCAAAGGCTGTTCTGATTCCATTATCATTCCATAAGTTTTTCATTGGTTCCACATACTGAAGGAAGGTGTGATCATCGAGTTTATTATTCCCATCAAAACTAAAAACAAAGTTGGCATCTTTGACATTTGTCTCGTCACCCCACGGTATGCCTAACTTATCTCTGGCGTCTATCAATACGCGCATACCTTTCACTATATTGTTATAAATGATAGATTTGAACTCCTGAAGATCTTCATTGTCGAAGTCAACACCGTGAATAATCCTCATTTGTTTCAAAAATGTGCTCTTCCCACTTTCACCAGCACCCAAAAGTAAAATCCTTACGGTTCTTCTAAATGTCATTCTATCCCTATTTAATCTTCTATCGATGTCACGACTTGTTAGTCGTTGACTTTTGTCTCTTTCGCTGAGACAACATGTCAAGAGCGTCGCCATTTTGCCTTAAAACCCCTCCCATGACGTCAGGAGTAAACACTTCCGTCAACATTCCATGGCTCATTCTTTCGTGATCTAATATAAATAGCATCATCATTGTATCGCACATGATTTTCAAAGATGGTTTATTGAACTATTCATTTTCACTGTGCAAAAGATATTTGAAATTACGTAAAAATTTAATTAATATCACAAAACACAAATTTATGATGTACGATTAAAGAGTGTATAAGAATTTACCAAAGGGAAGTAATTCTAGATATCCAAAATGGCTGCGTCCATGGTTTTCCGAAATACAAGACAATATTTACGTAATATTCAATGTATTTCGAGGACATCAGTACGTGGTGCCAAAGATTTCAAGTTGGCTGAAGCTGGTGTATTTCATGTATTGTATGTGTTCTCACGATATCAAAATTGCGTTTTAATTGCAATGTCACAAGCGTCTTTACTAATTTTACGTAACTGCCGATCTGATATTAATAATAAATCATTAAAGATGACTACGGCAACTTTGCAGTACTGACACTCATTCACTGTATCTGTAGGAATTCCAACTATTCCTCCTCATCACTAGGCTAGCTTTCCAGAATGAAAATCCTCTGACTTCTGGATCACCTACAATTATATAAATAAAAAACTTCAAAGTCACAATATTTAAATATCTATATTGAAGAATGATGTCAACAGTCATGAAACGGAGATGATTACTTCGGCCTGTTAAAGCTTATAGCCTCTCAAGAATTTTTTGTGGGACTTTGCTGAAAGCCACTGTTGTTATCGAAATGTCAATCCTTTTTTTTTCTATTTGAATCTGAAAAGTACTACAGATAGCTGATCCTTCTTAACTGGAGATAACAAGATATCTGTCTTTATTTCAGTTTACCAATGTTGCCACCAGACACAGAAGAGACCAACACATTCATGGATTATAAAAACTATCCAAATATGTCAGAGATCACTCCTGCTAAAATGTTGACAGGAACTGTGAAACGTTCTATCTTATATCACACAGAAGTTGGTAATCTGATGTTTGAACTGAAAGGTAAGCGATAAGCTTATACTAAATAAAGCCTAATATTCATGACAATATTGGAAATACCGATGTTTTTTAGGGATTATAGAGTTGTCAGTTTGTCTTGTAGGTAGAAAAATATTTTAAATTGTCAAGAATCATTTCTATTTGATGTTTCGGCAATCACCATGCAGGGGTAATGGAACAATGAAGAAAACTGATATATTAAAGATCATCAATAATTTCCATTATATTTAATAATATTGATAATAATGTTATGATGTATAATTTTTCACATAGATTCAAAGAAAAAGAAGACATTCAATGAAATATTTGGATGTATTGAGAACATTTCTATTCCTTTGAATTTTGCTGAAACCTTAACAGAATTGTGTTGTTTCTTATCAAGAGACGGCGAGTTCATGTCAGTGAAAGAAAGGGTAAGAAGATGCTGATTTTTTTATATACTTTACAAGAATGACAAATTGCATCTTAAATATTCTGACAGTCTTATTAGGATAATCTATTTCTGGTTACATGAGAATTTTTACATCCAAAAAGTGGAGCACCAATTAGTTTCTTGACCAAAGACTCTTCCCATGTCGATATTTCAAAAGTTTTATCCGAAGTGTAGGATAAAGTTTTGAACAATGGAGTCAAAAACTTTGCTTTGCTCCACTTTATGAAGTTATGTGTTCTGTCTTGCTACCTTCTTCTAAACACTTAATGCCACTCTGCAATTAGGTCTGTCAACCTAGTACCGGTACCACAAAGCTAATATTGTTTTATGTGTATTTATTTGATATTTCATTTTTATATTCAGTTAAGGCCACAAACTGTAATGAGTAGAGTTGAAAGATTCAGAAGTGAAGCCTTTTATGATACAATTAGGGTAAGCTTATAGAAGCATTGTTTTCAATTATTAAAGTTTTCTCTTTTTGTGGAAAATTTCTGCTGTCAATCCATAACATGAGTTATTGCCCTTTATTAATATTAAATGTTTCTGCTCCCAGAGTCCTGATTGGGCTCATTTTAATTGCTAGCACACAGGATATCCCATCAAGTTTTGAGAAAGATACTGTTTCTGCCTGAATCAGAAAACATACCACAATACCAGATTAAGCCAAATAACATTGAGCTCAATTTGCCACTATTGTATTGGATCTATATCAAATTTTATTATAGGAAATGAAAGTGAATCAAGAATTAGATGAATATCAAACTACATTAGTCAATTATTATTTACACAATATGGTCATAAATGGTGTACATCTAGGCACTGAGAAAAAGAAATATTCCAATGCTGTAGACTATTATGAAAATTTGTGTCAAACATATAGGTAAGTTGAATAATTTAATTATATCTTCTGTTATACCTTTACAGAATTGAAAATCTCAATAGTAATATGGATCTAGGAATTCAAGAGTTTTTCTTGTCTCCTTCATATTTGGTAAAATTAAAGCTTCTGTCTGAAGCCTACTAATTTCTTGTCTGTTTTTGTGGTTTCTTTAAAGATGGGTTTCCTTACTTTTTTAGTGTCAAATTAAGCAAATTATTTGATTAATTGGTGTTTCTAATGAATTATCATGTATTCTTAATCATATCATTATAATCTTATTGCATATAGTGAACTTACTTTTTTAGTGTCAAATTAAGCAAATTATTTGATTAATTGGTGTTTCTACTGAATTATCATGTATTCTTAATCATATCATTATAATCTTATTGCATATAGTGAAGAGTTTTAACTAATCATAAATGTCCATGTATGTACAGTCTGGATAAACAAGAAAAAAGACTTTTTGACCTTTCCTGATCGGTTACTCATCGGAATTCTGCTAGTAATTCTCTTCTAATTTAGCTAATTAGGAATTAATTATGGACTTGTGAGACAAACTTGTATTTGTCATTAGAACACCTCTATTTTTTATTCATAAATAAAAATAAGGGAACCCATCTTTAATTCAAAAATGTTTTGTATGGGTATGACCTCAATATGGCAACTTCAAAAATCCTGTTGAGCTCTATTAGAGTTTTTTAAGATAACATGTTAATTCTTTTTCTATTTCTAGGCATTTAGTATATAGGTGTGATGAAATCTATGTTAAAGTCATCTATGATTTTAGAATTCTACAAGATGTTCCTCTTGATGTTTTAAGAGCAACTGCAGTAGATGGGTAAGACTTCCTTCCTGAAGTGAAAGAGTCTGTCTTGGACAGCAAGCACTTACACTTTCCATGAACAGCTAACTGACTCTTTCCTGTCTGCCTAATTGGCAATGTCAGCTGACCTCTGCAATTGTGATTTTGATAGCTTATTTTCCTTGTTGTATAATTGATTGTAACAATGTATTGTGTACATGTCAACCAGAAAAATGAAGTATTAAACCGAAGAGTGTCTTCGTTAGCTGCCAGTTTTTAACGCTAATCCTTAAACTGAAGAATAAGGATCATGGGCTGTCACATTTCCTACCAATACATATGTCTATTTCAGTCGCACCCCACACAGAGGACCCTGGCGTTTAACATTTCATAAAGATATTTACCATGCCATTATGAAATACTGTTCAGATAGACCTACTAGATGTATATTATATGGTGATTATATGCAGAGATGTGGTATTGGCTATCATGGTACTAATATTTGTACCAGAGATGTCCTTGAAAATCTTCTGAATCAAACGTAAGTACTGCATTCATAAAAAAAACTTTAGTGGAAGTACTAATTACAATATCAAATGAATTACTTATTATATATTTTCAGTTATTTTTTGGAAATTCTTATAAAAAGCAAGTCGAATTCTCTGTTAAATTTCTGTTTGAACACAATTTGAAAAATATTTTGGGATCTGTGTTGATCCCTTTTTGGTGATCCCTGCTATGAGGATCTCTGTTGGCATTTATCTATGGAAATCTTAAAATTCTTTTTAGTATTGATTACCTTAATCATTTTCCTTCTATCGTTATTTTATTTGTCCATGTGTTGCAATAATCCCAAAATTTACTACCCAAACAGTTTTATTTTTCAATAACTCAATTTTCAGTTATATTTATCATTTCAGGGATATTAATGCTACTATATTAGGGTATAATTCGTATGCTGAACTTTCTCTGGATTCTAAAATGGCTGGTTCTGTTGACAATGTTAAAGCTTTGTTTAGATTGTAAGTGTGTCTTATAAAGAAAAGATTGACAAAATTTATTTCAAAATTTCAAGAAGATGTTGCCAATATTTTGTTGTTAATCATACGCGAAAGGAAAATAAAGACATTCTCATGCTTAATTATATTGTAAACTGTCTAGTCTAGCAAAACTGATGTAAATTTTTACATTTCTACTATTTCTATTCCTTTCTATAAGACTGTTACGTCAACTGGCGTTTCTTATTAACTATAGTTTGTCATTTGACAAAAGGGCGTATGAATACATTTCAAAACAAAACAATGACTTGATCGAAGATGAAAAATGAAATTAACAGCTTGTTTAAAATAATAAAGTTTGTATTAAAAGATTTGAAATACAAATATAAGAATTAATTTTTGGTCTGTATATTGGCGTGAAAACGCAATTGATAACACCAGAAACTTTGTCATTAACTCAGTTTGTCACATGATCAATATGGTTTACACCAATAATGCTATACAGACCAAAAGACATGTTCATCCTGAAAAAAGTGGAGGCAAATACTTTCGCGACAGTACCCACTTGATATTTAAATTTAGTGAATTTATCATTTAAGGTATAACAAGGAGTTATATCCAGAAGTAATAGAGGAACTAGAGGAGCTGCAAGAGTTTGCTAAATCTTGTGGTTTTCCTCATAAGTTAGAAATGTGGGATGTAGAATATTTTAGAAATCTTCAAGCAAATCATTTATATCCGTAAGTAAATATAGATCTATATATTTATTATGGTAATATTTTATTTATTTATGTATGTATTAAATTATTATTAAATCTTACTTATTTACAACCTAACAATTGCAAATAAATAATTTCTTCCCTTTATTTGGGCACCTCATTCAATCTGCTTAATTTCGGATAATGATATTATGTATTAAGTGACATGATATTACAAATTAAATGACGTGATATTACAGATTGATGATGTTACAGATTAACTGACATGATATTACAAATTAACTGACATATTACAAATTAACTGACATGATATTACAAATTAACTGACATGATATTACAGATTAACTGATATGATATCGCAAATTAACTGACATGATGTTACAGATTATCTGACATGATATCGCAAATTAACTGACATGATGTTACAGATTAACTGATATGATATTACAAATTAACTGACATGATATTACAGATTATCTGACATGATATTACAGATTATCTGACATGATATTACAGATTAACTGATATGAAATCACAAATTAACTGACAGGATATTACAGATTAACCGACATGATATTACAGATTATCTGACATGATATTACAAATTAACTGACATTACATTTACTTGCAAAAGCTAACAAATACAATTCTCTGTGATGAAAAATGATATTACAAATTAACTGACATGATATTACAGATTAACTGATATGATATCGCAAATTAACTGACATGATGTTACAGATTATCTGACATGATATCGCAAATTAACTGACATGATGTTACAGATTAACTGATATGATATTACAAATTAACTGACATGATATTACAGATTATCTGACATGATATTACAGATTATCTGACATGATATTACAGATTAACTGATATGAAATCACAAATTAACTGACAGGATATTACAGATTAACCGACATGATATTACAGATTATCTGACATGATATTACAAATTAACTGACATTACATTTACTTGCAAAAGCTAACAAATACAATTCTCTGTGATGAAAAATAAAAATTCCTTTACAATAGATGATACAAGTCCTTGGCCTTGCCTTAAAAATAACTTTCAGTACACTGACATCTTGGTATACATTGATTGCTCTCAATGAAAATAAATAATTATTATAGGTACCTCTTTATTTTTCAGAATAGATGAAAATGTTGTGAGTGACTACTTCGCTTTATCAAGTGTAGAAGAAAAGTTTTTCGGTCTATGCGAGTCACTATTTGGTATTACAATAAAGGTCAGTCATGAAATATCTTCTGCTTAATCTGGTCCTCACATTACCAAGCTAAGATGAATCATTCAAATTGGGCAAGAATTGAATCGTGACTTTTTTAAGGGACATGTTTACCATTTTTGCGGATTTGATTTGGGTCTTGAATAGACGTACTAGAAATGTACGAAAACCGCATAATTCCTTCAAAAATACCTCAAACTAGGAATTTCACTTTCTGTTTCTATATGTCTTAAGAAAAGATGGTTCTCCCTTTTAATATTCATATGCTGACAGTTCTGGACACGCATGGATTTGAAGGCTCATATTTCCAACTGTTGGCTGTGAACATGGACATGTTAAATTAAGATTTTAGAAGTCAAATAGCCCTTTCATCTTTGATTTTTTGTAGGAGGTAGAATGTGATGAGAATCATATATGGTTGCCAACTGTTAAACTATATAAGATATACAATACTGATGGTAGGTACTATAGATTGTTTTAAATAGCCCAGAATGAAAAAAAAAGGATAAGTATGTGATCAAGTTTTATAATCATTATCATGAAACTGATTCAATTCAACAGTTAAGTAGTCTGCCAATTGTATCATAATGTATTTGCAATATTTATCAGTCTTGTGATAAAACTATCATGTATCATCTCAACCTTATGTCCATTATTTTTGGACTTTTGCCTTTAAAAGTCTTACCAGTAATAATTTTAATCAAGGTCATTATTCTTTGTAGGTGAGGAATTGGCTTCTTTTTTCTATGACCCACATGAATATCCAACTAAAATCCAAAGAAGTGAGGTTATGTTTGGTAGAGGTAAGTGTCATTTTAGGTTCATGAGGATCCTGTCAGCCAGTTGGTTCATGGCTCAATATATTAGCATTGATCTTCCTGTGTTGAATGATGAAGCGAGATGACTTCTTCAAGGTCACCAGACTTTCACATGCAAACCAAAATAAGAACACTTTATCACCATTGTTCAAAGTAACAAAGCAAATGATGTCATGTAAAGATTTCAACACTTTAACAGTCTATGCTAAAGCTCATCCTACATCACTTAACATCTATCTGGGTATGCCCTAATGGCAGTCGGATAACTCAATCTGAATCAGCAGTTGGATTTAGGTTTGCTGGGCCTTTAGTAAAGGGTGTCCAAATCAAAGAGGGCTTTCTGATATTACTGGCTTTGAGAGCAAATTAACCCCATTGACATTATATATATATATATTATTGTATATATATTGTAGATCAGAGTGAGATATTGGATGTTAAACCATTTGCTACTATATCATTATCTTTATCACAATCTACCATACCAGATACACCAACAACCATGACATTTGATCAAGTTACAGAGTTTTTCTTTTTAGTAAGTATTAAGGGCACCAACAAATTCATTAAATTTAAGACAGTATATTTTGAGACTATTTTCTAAGAATTTTCCATCAGTTGATTGGACATCAAAACAATGGAAAATCGAATTATAAATACATTAAATAAGGAGCTTTTTACCTATATGAACACCTTAAATCATATGTGGAGTTACTTAATTGCAGAGTGGCATTATGTGTATTCGATGGGTGATCGTTCCCAACACAGTAACTCAATTCAATAAATTTTCTGAAAGTGTACTTTGCATTATATAACCTTATTGCATTGCAGTTTGGAAAAGCTTTCCAAAAGTTGTTAGCTAAAGTACCATATGCTGAATTGGCAGATTTACAAGTCATGGAAGTAGATGCTAGAGATATCTGTGGAAATTTTTTTAAGAAGTTTTGTTATGAACCTTTCTTTTTACAACAAATAACGAGCCATATAGATACTAAACAACCAATGCCAATGGAACTTGTAGAATCATTAATAAAAAGTAAGTGTCATAGCTATTTGTTAATAATCAATTTTTAAAGAATACCCAACTATTAAAGATGGGTTTCCTTCCTTATTATTTAGTGTCAAATTAAGCAAATTAATTTGGTGTTTCAAATGAATTATCATACAGTTGGGCTAAACAAAGATGCCTCTACTTTCTATTCATATAAGTTTTAGCATTTTCATAAATGAAAATGAGGGAACCCATCTTTAAAAAATATTTGTATTTGAGCCATTATATCCCCAATACACATAAAAAGGCTTAAAATAACTCTGTTAGTATTACAGAAGTGTCTTCTTCGACCATGGTTGGATTTAATCTTGAAAAAATGTCATGGACAGCACACAAAAAAAAACAGGATCAATAGGTTAAAATCATGACACCAGACTGTACATAATTTGAGCCATTATATCCCCAATACACATAAAAAGGCTAAAAATAACTCTGTTAGTATTACAGAAGTGTCTTCTGGTTGGATTTAATCTTGAAAAAATGCACACAAAAACCAAGGATCAATAGGTTAAAGTCATGACAACAGTTTCGCATGATCTTTTCTCGTTTCAGATAAAAGACATTTTGAGAAATGGGATATAGTTAGATTGTTGTACTACAGTGAAGTAGATATAGAATTGTATACAACGTAAGTAACAACAATATATCATAATATATGGCGATATTTCGTTATTTTCTAATCAGGCGATATAACTAACGAAATAAATTCCAATACCAGTATTTATCATGATAACTGTATATCGGCAAGCCCTACTATAATCTCACTATGTATCCATGTACATCTACTTAGGATACAAATATGTCAAAAAAATGAAAAAAACCACCTCCAAATTATATAAGCATAGTAAGTGCATAGGAATGAAATGAAATGAATGGAGTTTTACGTCCTACTTTTCTACATGCAATGCGATGCGGTGAGGGAAATTTTGCCTGGACAGCGGCATAAGCCTGCTCTCTTTAAATTTCCAACTGTCTTTAACGTGCACAGCCTGTAGCACACAGGACTTGGGTTTATTGTCCCATCAGAACAACTATATGCTTTTTCCATGTCAGCCCCTCTTACCTGCACTACTGACAGTGGGAAACCAGGTTGCAAAATCCGAAGGAACTACATGTATCTCGACCTATGCTAGAATTAAACCCTGGACCTTCAGGTTAGCGAGCAAGTGTCCAACTCTCTGAGCCACCTCAGCTCCTATTAAGTGCATAGAACTAAGTAAAAGAACAGTCGGTCAAATCAGATTTTACTCAGGTTTGAAGTCAGGGGAAAAAAGTTTTTTAGTTTATAATTCAACATTAAGGAGAAATTTTCAGGTGTTCAAATTTATAGCAGATTATGTGAGATCTATTCCTATCTTGTTCTTCTCTCTTAAGCAAAGTCTATCATGTATTTTGTCCTTGCTATTAAATTTGGCTGTATATATCAATATTTCTATGTTTATAGAGATGATGAATGGAACGTCATAATGGCTAGAGCCTGGAAGAAGTGGAACCCATTTCCTTTCAACAATGGTTACACAGAAATCTTTGCTCTTTCTGATATTGTATGCAATGACCATAAAGCAGCGTATTACTCACATGTCTGGTCCAAGGTAAGTTCTATGTGGAGATAGCTCCTGGTCACAAGTCACACCTGACCTTATTTTGCTTTTTCTTGACATTTCCGTGTCAAATATTGAGGGAAATAACCTAAACATTTAAAAATTGACACCAAGTTTAACTACAATTAAATGGAAATAAAAATGTATAATAACAGCTGAAATTTTTTTTTATTACGTATGCTAACCTCAAGTTGCCATCATTGTAAAGGGACATGTTTGCTATTATTGGGAGTCAATTTGGGACTTATAAATAGTCTTCACTAGTAGGAAAATCGCAAAAATACACCAAACAAGGAATTTCTTTTTCTATGATGTCTTTTCCTATACTTGACAGAGTCTCAAGAAAAGATGAGTTGATTATTTTGATAGTGAGCTTTTGAACACAATTACTGAATAGCCAAAAAATTACCGGTTTCTGAGACTAAGGTATGATTGGTCGAAAAGAATGGCAAACCTGTACCTTAAACTGAGATATGAATCCAGGTTTAAAAAAAATACAAGAATTCCAGTCATTCCCATCTCAAATTATTTGACACCATCTAGAAGTAATTATGGTTATCAAGTCAATACTTAACACATATTTTTGTATTCATAGATGGTTGCTGCTGATTTATTCAGAGCATTTCAAGAAGCAGAGCTTGAAAATCAGACAAAAATGGTTGAACTTGGAAAAAGGTAAGACTTGTGAAGTAAATTTTGTCATGAGAAAATATATTTTGAGTCTAAAATCAGATATAATTTCATGCAGCATTAGGTCATTATTATATTTTCAATGAAACTATTGAACCAGCCAGTTCTTACGGTCACAAAATTAAATTGTTAAGTATGAAGGAGGAAAGGAAAGTCACCACACAGTAATGATGACATAAGGGGGCTACTCCATTTTGGCAGCTTGCCAGCTGTCTGTAGCTGTAAGAAATCACTCACTGAGCCATCCATTGCGCTGACGGAGGTGTTGTGTTTGAGGACAAAAAATCCAAAACTGGATTTGCTAAGGATTAGCTCTGGTCTGTTTGTCTTATTAAGTATGTGTTTGAAATTGAGTTTGAGTTCACATGTAATCGCAGCTTTATTCTGGTTACTTCAAGCCAATCTCGATGGGCGTGTAAAAGTGTGATGACCTTGAACAAGTCATCTTCACTCATAATTCCAGTCGAATGACTACAGATAATCCGGGAAAGATCAATGCTGAGAGGTTTGGCCAAGGACCTGATGGTAGAAAGGATCCTTAACTGTGTACTTTTTATTTTCAGATTTAAAGATACCTATCTGACATTAGGATGTGGTGTGCCTGCTAGTGAAGTGTTCAGACGCTTTAGAGGTCGTGACCCCAGTTTCAAAATTCTTCTAGAAGAAATGGATATAGAGGATGATAAGCTTTTATCTAGTGGATAATCTTCCTAAACTAGCAATCTGTTAGTGGTTACAAAAACAAAATGTGCTGCATTGTGATAGACAAATTCGCCTTCCAAGTGTCAGAATTGTGTATGAAAACACGATGAACTGTGACAGGCATGAGAAAAGAATTGAAGCATGTATATAACTGATCAGTTTGATCAAATAGAGTTTCTATGTGGAAATTTTGTGTGTAGTTGGGAGTAAAAAAGTGATTGTGATGGACTACAAACCAAATGCTAGCTTAAAGATGGGTTTCCTTATTTTTTTTAGTGTCAAATTAAGCAAACTATTTGATTAATTGGTGTTTCTAATGAATTATCATGTATTCTTAATCATATCATTATATTCTTATTGCATATAATTAAGAGTTTTAACCAATCATAATTGTCCATGTATGTACAGTCTGGATAAACTAAAAAATACTTTTTGACCTTTCTTGATCGGTCACTCATTGGAATTCTGCTGATAATTCTCTTCTAATTTAGCTAATTATGAATTAATTATGGACATGTGAGACAAACTGGTATTTTTCCAAGTCATTAGAACACCTCAACTTTCTATTCATATAAATATTAGCATTTTCATAAATGAAAATAAGGGAACCCATCTTTAAGTATGGATCTAAATTGTAGAAACTTGTAAAAATAGAAGTATTTCTTGCAGTAAATACATCAATTCGATCACCTGTTTTGAATTATGATAAATTATTTACAGCATGTTACAAAAAAACAATTTCAATGCAATTGTCTGTAGTTAAAGGGCCATTCTGCTTTAATTTCAACATTTAAACTGGGCTTATTATGCATGGTATTATTTGTATGTCCTTTGTATAGCTTCTATATGTTGACATGGCGACAGAGAACTACGAATCTACAACTCTCACGTTTGGAGGTACGTTTGTGAACTCGCTGCTGATTGGTTATTAACAATTCCAATCAGAATAAATTTCTCATAATCAAATATCGGCTGGTATAGTAAAGATGGAGATTGGGGGACTTGCGTAACTGGTTAAGATTTTTGTAGCTGTTTGTGACTTAAAACTTTTACAAAAGGAAAGTAGCATCTTCCCTTATATGTTGGCTTGCAGTTTGATGCTTTTGATGCTCAAAACACAAATAATAGAAAAAAGCAGAATGCCCCTTTAACTTTAATGTATGTTATTTGAATGAACTTTTGAATATGAAGAAAAATATAATGAATTATGAAAGTCATAAGTGGACGGTTAGTTGAAACTACAAATATTAATTATTAAGCATGTCTACAAAACTTTTAACGAGCTTCAAAACCTACATCATACTTACAATCAAGACTATTTCGAATATGTAGGTTTTTTTTCTATGGTATGAAGTAGTTTTGAGAGTGTTGTTTGTTTTTGCCCAACTTGAAAATGTGTTGTGTAAATTTGTTCAAGAGAAATGATATAATTTATGTATTTTTTTGTAATTTGAATGAATTGAATGAAGTGGTGTATCAGAAATCAGAATTTTGTTTTGGTCATATTTTTTTGTTTAAAGGGACAGATGCGCCACTTTGGGGAGGGGGTTGATTTGAATCTCGAATATAGGTAAATTGTCTTCAGAAGTACTGGAAATGTACGAAAATCACTTCTTATTTCTATCGATGTCTGTTCTATATATGGTACAGGGCTGTTGATATGGCTCTATTTACTGCACATGACTGACAGATTTTGGCATTGACTCGAAAATACGATAACAGTTTGGGCAATCTAGAGAACAAGATATAGTTCAAGCAATCTGTTGAATATGACTAAAGTTTGGGCAATCTAGAGAACAAGATATAGTTCAAGCAATCTTTTTCTACAGAAGTCTTTGCTATATATAGCAGTGTCTCATAAAAAGACGACTCGTTTTAATAACTTTCAAATAGGGGTAATTCTGACAGCCATGGATTTGAAGGCTCAAACTTTTACCTTGAGCTGGGAACACTGTGAATGGCTAATGAATTATCAGATTGATGTTAGTCAGTCAGGTCTGGCTAATTGCTTAACATCAAAAGTCTTTTTCTTTAATGAACCCTGCCATGTGACCTCATTAAAATTTCAAAGAAGCAATGATGTATAACAATAGATATTATTATATTGCCAGGCAAGGTAACATACAATCACTGAAATAAGATCAGTCTTAAGTGACTTAAATACAAATTTTATTATTTTAAAGATCTTCATAATGCATTTGTAGTTATTTAATTTATTCAAAAAAGATTTTAAATCCAAAGTAATAACCCAAAAGTCCTCGAATTCAAACTTCACTAAATTCTTGTCAATATAAATGATCACACTAAAATAAGATGAAATCTATTGTGCTTAATAACAAATTTGACCAGCTCATACTAAGTCAAGAGCAATAACTCAAAATGCGTTCATCGAAACATCTTCAAATTCAAACTTGCTCTAGATCTCATCAATATAAATGATCACACCAAATTTAATTAAGATCGGATGAAAACTGAGTCTCTATTGTACTCACAAATATATTTCCATGCTTTTTTCAAGGGCAGTAACTCAAAAACTATTAGTCAAAAAATCATTTTAGTCAAACTTTACCAAGATCTCATGAATATAAATCACACCAAATTTCATTTAAATCGAATGAAAACTGTAGTCTCTATTGTGTTCACCAACAAATTTTGGCGCATTTTTACCAATTTAAAGGCAATAATTCAAAACTGTTCATCAAAAAATCATCAAATTCAAACTTGACCAAGATCTCATTGATACATATCATTGTTTTGCATTTCAGTTGATACTTTTATTTGCATAAGTTGTGGTCTGAGGCATTTGTAATGCAACCACTGCTTGCTAGAGTTATTCGCCTTGTTTCCGAGCACGCCATTTTAAATGGAAACATTTTGAGAAACCTTTCCTGTTTTATTATGATTAACTTAATTTAGGGGCTTTGGACAAAACTCTTTAGGTACTTTTAAGATTAGCTTTATAACGGTCGTTTATATTATGCATACGTTCTTTTTTGTATTTGTCTTAGAATATCGCGATGTAGAGCAACTTATCGAGTCGAAAGTTCGTTGCGTGTTCTCCCTACCCTTCTTTTCATTATTAATTGTAATTATATAGTTTTGCGTTTACGTGAATGCTTTGTTAGGTAACGGTCAGATTTGCTTAGCGTATTTTGTTTGTTGCATTCATTATTGTATTTTAATGTCGCCCGTAGCACGTGAATAGCATTACTAACTCCCCATTTGATAGGTTGACTGTATAAAGGGAGATAACTACACTTAATGGTGCCCATTAAAGCAGGAGTTATGTCCCATACAATATTAGTCAGTAGCCTTAAGAAAACTAAGGGAAGTAACTACATTTATTATCTCACGTAAAGGTTGAAGAGTTGTACTTATCCTTTTATTCTTTATACATTTCAGAATACATAGTTCGAATTAGTACATACGTAAACTAATAAACTGTATTATTGGAAATTTGTCTTGACACTACCCCTTCCCTACCAATCATCACACCAAATTTCATTAAAATCAGAGTCTCTATTGTGTTCACAAGAAATGCAACAGCAATGGCAATGGCAATACATGTCCATATTTCCATGTGGGCATATAAAAATTAAAATTAATGAATGTAAAATGATTTTAAACGGTCTGTTGAATATGCTTTGAGTTTACAGGATATATATTCTCTAAATGAATAATATTTCTGTTAGTGACTGAATTGAACAGTTTCTCATGCAAATAACACATGAAAATTTAAATATGTGAATGCATCATCACTTAGTTTCGAGTTGGTTTAAGAACATAAACTTGCTGAAGTAGGTTGAAGGCTGTCTGGAAATATTTTTCAATTGATACCAAATTATGGAGCAGTTATCATATGAATTGCAACTTGGATTGAATGAGCAAATTTCTTAGCTCGAGGTCTATTTTTTGATTAACAATTATAGAGTTATTATCTTTGTCATAGCATGTAACAAAATTAACTTGAATGTAATAGATTACAGTTTTTAAATTTTGACTGAAATGAAAATTCTAAATGAAAAGCAGAAGTAAACATTTATTAATGAAGTTGTACAAAATCAACAAATATTTTAAGAGAGAAAGACAACATATTTATTAGAAGATTTAAAGAAAGGTTTCATTATGTGTTTAGGGGAGTTAAAATATTTCCTTTATATGACAAATTATGTTTTACCAGTAATAAGTTCTAGTGAATTCACAGAAAATATTCTAACATGCTCAGTACTGGCTATTAAAGGAGGTTACCAATCTTTTTTTTACCATCAACAAAATCACCAGTGTATACTACAATCAGAGAAAATACATGTGGTTTCTGATCTTTCTGTGAGTGATGGTTACAGATATTTAGTACAAGACGGTAAGAAAATAGTAATTTTTAACATGACTGACTCTGTATAGTTTTTTTTTTTTACATAGAAAAAGTTTCCGGTTGTTTGGGTGTGCTACCGGCTGCGCACATTAAAATCCCTCATCATTTGGAAATCTAAAGTAAGAATAGGCTTATGTCCCTGTCCTGTCCTGGCAAAATTACCCTCATTGCACACTGCATTAGTTCCATCTTTCTCTCTGCAAATTACCTTTTTAAATAGCATATCAGGACAAAAGATTTTTATGTCTAATCAGTCACCGAGTCCCCTCCTACCTAACTATGCACCAAAACATAGACCAAAATTAAATAACAATTGGTGTGAAATATCATTTAATAAAATTTGGTATGAAATATGGGTTCAGATGTTCATTGACAACAATGAGCGCAAATGAAAGTCTAACAATTAAATCCAGATAATGTAACCAATGATTATTACATCACAAATATGTAACTAAACTAACTATTGTAATTCTTGGTACTGTTTTTTATCATATAATTGTAAATCTTGATACTCTTATAATTGTAATTCTTGGTACTGTTTTTCTCTTGGTACTGTTTTTTCACTTGGTGCTGTTTTTTCTCATATAATTGTAATTCTTGGTACTGTTTTTTCTCTTGGTGCTGTTTTTTCTCTTATAATTGTAATTCTTGGTACTGTTTTTTCTCTTATAATTGTAATTCTTGGTACTGTTTTTTCTCTTATAATTGTAATTCTTGGTGCTGTTTTTTCTCTTATAATTGTAATTCTTGGTACTGTTTTTTCTCTTGGTACTGTTTTTCTCTCATATAATTGTAATTCTTGGTACTGTTTTTTCTCTTGGTGCTGTTTTTTTCTCATATAATTGTAATTCTTGGTACTGCTTTTTCTCTTGGTACTGTTTTTCTCTTGATGCTGTTTTTCTCTCATATAATTGTAATTCTTGGTACTGTTTTTTCTCTTGCTACTGTTTTTTCTCTTATAATTGTAATTCTTGGTACTGTTTTTTAACTTGAGGCTGTTTTCTCTCATATAATTGTAATTCTTGGTACTGTTTTTTCTCTTGGTACTGTTTTTCTCTCATATAATTGTAATTCTTGGTACTGCTTTTTCTCTTGGTACTGTTTTTCTCTCATATAATTGTAATTCTTGGTACTGCTTTTTCTCTTGGTACTGTTTTTCTCTCATATAATTGTAATTGTTGGTACTGCTTTTTCTCTTGGTACTGTTTTTCTGTCATATAATTGTAATTCTTAGTACTGTTTTTTCTCTTGGTACTGTTTTTTTCTCATATAATTGTAATTTTTGGTACTGTTTTTTCTCTTATAATTGTAATTCTTGGTACTGTTTTTTCCCTTGAGGCTGTTTTCTCTCATATAATTGTAATTCTTGGTACTGTTTTTTCTCTTATAATTGTAATTCTTGGTACTGTTTTTTCCCTTGAGGCTGTTTTCTCTCATATAATTGTAATTCTTGGTACTGCTTTTTCTCTTGGTACTGTTTTTCTCTCATATAATTGTAATTCTTGGTACTGCTTTTACTCTTGGTACTGTTTTTTTCTCATATAATTGTAATTGTTGGTACTGTTTTTTTCTCATATAATTGTAATTCTTGGTACTGCTTTTACTCTTGGTACTGTTTTTTTCTCATATAATTGTAATTCTTGGTACTGTTTTTTTCTCATATAATTGTAATTCTTGGTACTGTTTTTTCTCTTGATGCTGTTTTGCTCTCATATAATTGTAATTCTTGGTACTGTTTTTTTCTCTTATAATTGTAATTCTTGGTACTGTTTTTTCTCTTGATGCTGTTTTGCTCTCATATAATTGTAATTCTTGGTACTGTTTTTTTTTCATATAATTGTAATTCTTGGTACTGTTTTTTTTTCATATAATTGTAATTCTTGGTACTGTTTTTTTTTCATATAATTGTAATTCTTGGTACTGTTTTTTTTTCATATAATTGTAATTCTTGGTACTGTTTTTTTTTCATATAATTGTAATTCTTGGTACTGTTTTTTTTTCATATAATTGTAATTCTTGGTACTGTTTTTTTTTCATATAATTGTAATTCTTGGTACTGTTTTTTTTTTCATATAATTGTAATTCTTGGTACTGTTTTTCCTCTTATGATTGTAATTCTTCAGACTGCCTTTACTCAAATAATTGTAATTCTTGGAACTGCCTTTGCTCGATAATGGTTATTCTTGATACTGCTTTTGTTTAAATTAAATAATAGGTGGAATTTAAAGGGACAGTTGTGCTAATTTTTTGACCAATTGTACCATAGTCACAGAAACAGATATTTTTTAGCTCACTACCATTAAAAGTTGAGTCTTCTTATCTTTGTGTGTCCATGCACTTGTGGATGGACGGAGGCCCGCAGGCGGACAGACAAACTCACAGAAGTACGGACGGACTGACATGGGTGAGGCCAATGTCATGTGGGCATATAAAATTGACATATTATAAATAATATTAATGAAACTCCTAGTTTGAGGTGTTTTTGAAGGAATAATGTGGTTTTTGTTCATTTCTAGTATTTTTGAAGACTATTTACATATATTCCACACGTATTGTCCCTTTAACATCTATGTGCTGATAAGACGTCCTGATGAACAAACATTATATAGCCTGAAATAAGCTCAATTTCTGCTCTTATTCTATAACTCAACAATGGTTGTAGACACTAGCTCTGACTGTTTTCCTATAAGTTATCTTTAATAGAACAGGCATTTTAGTCAAATTCTGTTACACAAAAGAGAATAATTTATATAATGTTTCCAGGTCCTACCTGTGGTCCTCCACCTACACTAGAAAATGGTCAACTGGTGTCAGTTAGTCAGGTCAATGGTGATTATGTAGCTGAATATTCATGTAATACTGGATTTTATTTTTCGGGGCCCAAAACATCTACTTGTTCTGGTGGAATATGGTCAACTGGAATGAACTGTAAATGTAAGTTGTTTTTAATCTAAGATACAGTAGAGAGAAAAAAAGTTCATTTTCTCAGTATTATGGTTTATTTTTTAACAAACATTTGTCATATCCCATAGCAGATCAAACTGCCATTAACAGTGAAAATTTATGATGGTCTAAAAATTCAGCCAGTCCTGAATCTTGTTATAATAAAAGATAGCTTGTCAGAAAAGGCCAAAGAAGGTAACATGCGTCCAGAGTAGGGCTGCAACGATTCACCGATGAATCAATGAAGCGAGACTCTTTCTTATCCTGGCGCGATTAATTCTTAGTCCCCTTTAATAACAAATGACACAGAATCCTTGTGTGTATAAGAAATTGTGTCATGTTTATATTTTCCAAGTATGATTTTCACATCAAAATTTATTTCTGACTTTAAAAATTAAATTTAAATTCCTTACTTCTAAATGTTCTCAAGATCTTAATAGTGACAAACTTGGTAGTAAATTTACAAATTTCTACTATTTCTTCTCTTTCCTTCTCTAATAAATGAATCGCGATAATTGTCGCAATATAGCATATCTTGTTGAGTATCGTATATCTTATCGAATCGCAAGTTCGCAACTTCAAGAATCGTTGCAGCCCTAGTCCAAAGACAGATTTAGTGAGACATTTAGCCAAGTTGAAATGTTACTTTAAAAGTTTGAAAACAAGGACCATAACTAGCAACAACATATTACTGATATTTCTTAATTTCAATAAGATGCATCCTTGAAAACCCAACAATTTTACCAGGTTTCATAAAAATAATATAAAAGCTATTATACTTAAATAATGATTACAAGATAAGAATTGAACAACTTATAAAGAATAAAGGCAATAACTCATTTCTGTCCAAAATAACATTGACTTTTGGAGCTCTGGTTCCCAACCTTGGTGTTTTCACCCCTTGTGGGTGTGGGACTAGGTTGCCAGGGGTGTGGTCACCTGGTGTAGGAGAAGAATTTATTTCGAGTTGAGAGAGCACATCACATCATCACATGCTGCAAATTGCTCCAGGGGTATTTCTATTTACTTTTATTTTGAATAAAGCCACACCTGTTTGGGTCTATAGACCTCTTCTTGAAAATTCATTAGTTTGATGATACCACCAGCCAATCAAATTTCTGCCCTCTCAAACACAGCAGTCAGTGTCTTTATAATAAGGAAAGTTTGGTCTAATGTAAATAAGACTGCCAGATGAACAAGCAAAAAATATATATGAGTTCATTTTGGGATCAATAAATTGCTAATAGTGTACTCTTTTAGACTAAATATTCAATTATTCAAATTTTGCCCTCTTACATTTTAAAATACCCAGAACCACTTCAGCTTACTCCAGTGCCTTATTTTTTTTTTAACAGTCCATTCAATTCTTGCTTTTTCGTTACATTAAGATAATAGCTAGCTGTTTCAATTCACTTGAAGAGTTTCCTATTAAATAAGTGATAATTATGTTATTAAGTTATTCACATATGACTGAACACACAAACAAATCAGGAATTATTAAAGTAAACTTAAGTGATATTCAGACTGAGCTTCAAAGATGAAATCAAAACAAAGAACTCTCAGGAGAGAAGACTAAAGATAAAGTGGTAAATAAGAAATGACTTGAAATATAAGTTAGAATAGAAAGGTAAAACAAGGAACTTTTCTTAGTTTCATGAAAATCTGTTATAAATCATTCATTAAATGTGAAATGAAAAAAGTTATATACGTATTTTTATAAAACCTATTTGATAAAGGTTTAACTTTTCTGATAAAATATGTCCTCTTTTAATTCTATTTTTTTCACAATATTGTTCAAGAGCTGGTCAAATTGAAATATTTTGAATTTCAGTGAATCATTTGTGGGCTACAATTGTCTGAATGTGTACACATATATCATTCTATATTCTAGATGGTT